ATGCATTTAAAAACACTCCATCGAGCACTTTTGATATATTTTAACAGAAAACTAAAGTATTATGGTAAAAGTGAGGACCTTAGAGATGTTCGAAGTGATTAACTCCAAACAGTGGTATATTCTATTATTTGTTTGTGCACCGATCTATTCCGCAGGATACTTTTATAAAAAGTTGTATATTCTTTTTTTAATCTAATTTGGATGTAAATTGAGTGTATTAATCAAATGGAGTGAATCTGATGTCAAGTCAAAGTCTACACTTGACTTCTATATTTGACTTTTTTGAACTCCTATTGCATATTGTTTAGGGTTAGGTTTTGTCCTCCATGATAAATTAATGAATGCCTTAATATAAACTATTGTCTCATTTGGGAGCTTCTGATTGTCGGTAAGACTCAAAATGAATTCATTCTTCTCAGCATCGAGTGCTTGTAGGACGATAGATGTGCAGATCCCTTCGCAGCTGTCGTCCAAATTCTCTTTTATAGGCCAGACGAGGCAAACACGGCAATTCCCTAGTGAAATGTATGCATATATACAAAACCCCCAAGCTGTTTTCCTTCGTTTTAATTAACGCTCGAAGTTTATTGATTGCCTTCTTAAAATCCATTATCAGCTATGACCTCATTTAAAATTATTTCATCCTCAACTTACCGGTTAAGGTATGCCTAGCTGCTAACCCCATGGTATACCTAAAACATTTCAACCATAGAGCATGGTAAGTCAACAAGACAGTGAGCAATACCAAACAACAGTAAACGGCAGCAGGAAGACAGCTTGTTTTGATCGTTAACGTCTTACTGTTGGGTTGTAAACATGTGTGTATGTATGTGTATTTCGGCAATTTTTTATCAGGACAATACATTAGCAGGGACTACAGTGATCGGTTAAAATGGATCTTGGAGTAGGATGAGGGCCTTAGGTTCGGCGAGCAAGGGAAGAGTGAGGATGGATTAGTGATGTTTCGATGGTCAGCTTGCCTGGTTTCTCATAGAGTGTTTTTGGGCGGCGTGGTATTCCCTGATGTAGTTGGCCATGGAAGGCAAACTGCGGCTAATAGCGTCTTTCGATAGCAGGCAGTAAGTTTCACTAAAGAGATCGCTACTTATTCCCTTGCGGTCATTGCCCGCTTGCCTGGGCATGGAAAGCAGTGTGTCAGTGTCTG